AATAAGTAATGGATAGATACGGGAACGTCCATCACTGGTAAAGCATATAGTCCTCGAGAAGGGTATGTTTCCATGATTGGATGATAAAATCGGAAGTAACGGGTACTAGGGAACAATACCTTCAGTACAAGTGAGATGTGAACGAGTTTACTCATATTAGTACTGTTGGGGACCAGAGAAGTCTTAAATTTGTTACCCTTAATAATGGTACATAGAGGTCACATCCTTCGTTGGATCATAGTGTGAACTTAGTTTTCCTCCGTGACAATTGTTGGAGTCTTTTAAAATGACTTAAACGTTGACCTCAAGGTTGTGCGCACAACCCAAGGTACAGTTTTACCTTGATATAATATGATAAAAAAAAAATATGTACCAATAAAATAAAATGAATGTAATGAAAATATAATACCCAAGTAAATGGGGGGCCCATATTTATAAAGTACCCGCGTGATATAAATCATGAAATAAAATATAAATGAAGTGAATTAATACTCCGATTCCTGGTATCTAATAAATAAATTAATATATAAAGCTAGCTGAAGGTCAAAAAAAAATAAAGAGATAAAAGAAAGTACGTACAAAAATTATGAAAAAAAGGCCTGACAATCGAAAACAAAGGATATGAGAGTAGTGTTAGTATTTATGAAAATATATAACACGCAAAGACATGAGAACAATTAAAATGAGGTAATAAAGGGATCCCTCGAACAAATCTAAAAAGTTAGATATTATGTACTTATTTCGCATTATTACCTACAGTCCTACTCAAAAGGCTACTTAGAAGCTACACATCTAGTAACTATAGGAACGATCCACACAACCACACAAAAAAAAAAACCCAATTAAATTTGATAAATACATTTTCGCGTAGATTTACATTAATTTACGATTTTTTTTATTTATGCACATTGACTCATAGTTACAATAACTCTACCTTAAACTTCTCGTGTTATATTTTTTTTTTGTTGTTTATGAATAATTTGTACAATTTTTAACAAAATTTGGTATATTGCTTACTAAAATCAAATCCAAAGCGTATCGATACTCTATTATTATAAGTTTGATAATGTAATAATATTTTTTTTCTCTATATAGACAGTCAAACCTAAGTTTACGTTAATACATATTTACTTAAAAAAAAAAATTGTCTTCAAATGTTAAACAAATATTTTGTTATAACTTCTAAATTATTTTTATTAAACTTAACTTTATATTTTAAACTCTGTATTCAATTAAGATCAAGAATCTTGAAATCTAAAATTAAAAAAAAAAGTAATAATGTGTATTCGACTTTTATGAATAACTTAAATAATAAATATTCGATAATGTATGTAAATGTATTATAACAATGCCATGTAACCATCTTAACTACGTACATTAAAAAGTGCTTGATACTGTAATTTTCAAATACTTTTAAGTGTACTCATAATAAAACAATTTGTAAGTTATTTTGAATTAGATATTATGTATGTGTCATACGATGTAATTTCAAACCTTTCCTTATACGTGCTTTGTGGACTTTATAACAAAGGTGTGTCACAAACCGCTTACGCGGCTGTTGCAAGATGTATTTTGATCTCTGTTGTTATGATCATGATTAGGTTGCATTACATTATGTTCTTTGTTCTGTTCATCTTAAAATGAAATGTAATATTTTCGGTGATAAATCATATGCTTTTAATTTTTATAAGTCATCGTTCTCTGGAAAAATTGTTAAGTATTAATATATAACCTATTTGTGTGGATCATAAAAGTAACGATTAATCAAATACAAAGGTATAAATAAGTGAAGTATAAAGTATTATAATTGTATACTAATAGTATAAAATGTGAAAAAATATATAAGGAAGAGTAGATAGTACTTAATGCGAGTATCCGGATAAGTTACTTAATAAATGACTAAATAACTCAATATCTAAGTACGTTACAATAATGTGTCGACCAAAATAATATACCTTCACGAATGTTCACCTAATTATGTCAAATACGTATGTTGTATGTATGCATCATACTATTTTTAATGTGACTGACGAATTATTATGTGTTTAGGAGGTTTGGCCAGCCGTCCTACCCAAATCAAGACGAATTTTACATATTATACTTAATAATTTTATTTATTTACTTTTAAGGATTAATTTTTTACAGTATAAAAAAAATTTTGTTTTATTTTTTATTTTTTTGTCGGTGGGAGGTGTGGTATAGGTATAACCCACGACTATATAATAAGTATATAAAGTTAAAAATAAAGAACTTATAATAAAGCTATCATTATATAAATTAAGTGTAAGACATATGTAAGTCGTAATAATAATTACATTATAAAAATGATGAGTAGTTTTAAGAAAGTATTTAGTATTATATAGTGTCATATGTTTAAAAATTTAAAAAATCTAACTGAATTTTAAATTTTTTTAAATAAGGAAGGAGATGTGGTGTCGGTACTATGATAAAACAATATAACAGGAATATATGATATCATCACTCAACGTGGACTCCATATAAGGAGTAGAAATAACATCTATTTGGTTCAGTAATATCATATTATATTTATAGAAGAAGATACCATTCATGTGGCTCTACCTGGAACCACGTAACACAAACCCTGCCCCCTACCTATGTACCTACGTCACAACCACTATATATAAGTCTCCTCCAACCCAATAAAGAGAGAATTATTAAACTGCATCACTGAGTTTAAATTACTGCTTGTCCAAACATTACATAAGTCCGCTTTCTCCTTAAGCGCATACACCAGGGAGCCATCTGGTTTCACCAGTGTAGGCAGTGTAGACCGACAAAAGTTTGTCTCGACCGCGTTGGCAGACCAAAAAGCTCTACTGCCAGATGGTTTGATAGAGCTTTGTATCGATGCGTTTAATGCGGTCGACTGGTGGATGGCGGCTTGGTTAAAGGCTCTATTCTTAGGCTAACATCCGGAGCTTGGTGGTCTCGAGCATCGACCCAGGATAAGTACGCCATATGCTTGTCCTTTGCAAGCACGAGCGCACTCGGCTTTTAAACCTGGGCAAGCTTTATCACCGCCCATTGGTGGTAAATCTTAAAGGTACGTCAGCAAAGGGGATGTGAAATACTCCATCGCTTATGGCATCAGCGCAGCTCGACGGGTCTTCAGACGAGAAGCAGACCTGCCGCCAAGGATAAGAAATGTCGCATCTCATCCCAATCTGTTGACTTGTATCGCTACACTCGCCGCACAACGTGGAAATCGTAGTTAGGTGGGGCATATAATGACACAGATTTCAATAGACAGTGGTCAGAAGTTCCCAAGGGTAAGGTAACCTGAACATCGTACCTGTCTGGATAGATCGTCAGCAGAAGGTCGAAGCAGTTGGCTGAGTGCCCATCCATATCAGGTACCCTAGTAGCTTGTTGTACCAGCTGGGAGAGCCCCAGCGACAGGGCAAAATTCCACGCCTCTCTCCAAGTGTGGTCGGTCTTCTGGTATGGGAACAGCCAGTCCTGATGACAGGCCTTAAAGTCCCCCAGAAAAGCCAACTGTGCATTAGGGTACCGATTTAGAGCCACATCAGAGGCTTCACTCAGCCTAGTTGTTTCCTGGTCACCGTTGTGCGATCGGTAGACACAAGAATAAATAATTTTATCCATTCCTGTGTCTATCAATACCCAGATCGTAGAGAAAGTGGGGTCTTCAAGGTGACGGAGACGCTTACAGCAGATGTCGTTGCGGACGTGAGCAGAGACTCCGGCGCACTGATGGAAATTATGCTCCAATGTGTACCCAGGGTAGCCAAGGTACGCCGCATCTAGAGGACAACTGATCTGCGTCTCAGTCAAGAAGAGTAAGTGCGGCTTGTCAGTCTCTAGGTGGTGGTAATGGATTGCATTGAGATTACAGTGCAGGCCTTGAATGTTTGTGAGGTGCACTTTGATGGAGAGGGAGTGCAACCGCTGTACAAACTTACTCTTCTTTTTCCTTTTTTACATAAATGGTGGGAGTGAATAGGTTGAGAGGAATGGCAGTAGGCCAAGGCGTCACACATATAACCTAGGGACGCAAACAGAGCCACAGCATCGATGGTACCTAGCATGAAGATCGCGGAGACGCCCGAATTCCCCTGAAAATCACCACCAGGCCCTCTCCTCCGGTCGCTAGCCGGCATGGTGGAGGATCCCAGGACTTTTCGTAAGACGGCGAGGCAGCCTCACGAGGTTGAGTGGCTGGCTCACTAATTGGGCCCCCAACAATCTACGATCGGCCAGCAGTGCAACCGTGCTTTGGATCCCGCTAACCTCCGTAACTAGGCACCTCATACTAAAAAACGGCCGCGTCGCAACTGTTTCTTATGCGCAACGCAATTGTCCAGATCCATTCTCCCTAACAAATGGGTTTCACCTAACATCATACCGGAACACGACTTGCATCACCGCCAAACGGTTTGTCTTTGCCAGGTGGGTGGTAACTAAGCCTCCGCCGGGCCTCTCACTAGTATAGGACCAACCTACCACCAGTATATAGTGCTGCTCTTTTAGCACTACCTAGGGGATACGTGTAAGGAATCAGGATTCAAGTAATTCCTACGGACGCGAGCAGCTTCATCCCCCAAAAGTTTACAACCTGGAGATCAGAGGCCATATTACCAGTGCTAAGATAATGGCTCTAAGCTCACCAACCCTTCTGTCTGGTTTAGTGAATAATGCTCACCAGCCGGCGCGCCCTATCTAAGAAAGACCCATATTAAGCCTTAACCTTAACAAGCCCGTACTGTAATGCTTAACAATGATTTTGCAAAAAAAAAAATATTTTAAGGTCATTACATTATGTTAAGTACATTACAGTAATCATATTAGGTTGATACCGTACGAGCAACACGTGTTAAAATATAAAATTTTTAAATTACCCTTTTTGCTCGTACTAGCTTTAATTTGAATCTAAGTAAAGATTGAATATTATTATTTTAATTATGCCGTAGTTTTCTAATCAATACCGCATTACCGTAGTCATAAAAAATCGTCCATACCTGTCCCATTATCTCAAATAATTTCCTCGAATCTTCAGGTGTGTTGACGCAAAACGACTGTATCGACCCGCCAATAATATGTTCAATGGCACCGCCCCATTTTTTCTCCTTTAACTTCAGATAATGCCCTGTTGGACACAGACACACTAAAGTTATCACAATCTAGTAAAAATAATCAATTAAAAATATGACTATACAATAACTGCAAATCTTATTCTTTTGATTTGTCGTCGAAGCAGTAAGAAATCTATTACAGACCGACAGGTCCCCTTGGCGGTGCGCTAAACTGTCCCTTGGCGGCCGCCTGGCGCACTCGCTGGCACAGCTCCACCATGTTGCTGCCGTACACGGCCAGGGAATCGCTGCCTCTGGATTCCAACTCGCGAAGTTGCTGCTTCAGTTGTTCTGCAAAGAATTAAAAATGTCAGCCTTGAAGCCTATTGGTACATTCTAAAATTAAAATTTCATTAGTCAGGGTATTCTTATGCTGATTTAATTTTAAATAAGGCCATTTTGCCATTTTACACACAGCTGATTAAGTTTTTTTTTTTAATAATAATTGAATTTAACAAAATAGTCATCTTCAGTCAGTAAACTTTCATTGAAAGTTGCCTTGACGCACATTTTGCATGCATGCGAAACGATGGCAACAGGTTACTTATTGATTTTCTCTAGTACGAGGATTAGATGAATGGTTAACAATAAATTCTTTACAAAATTATATTTTTTTATTTTGTAGTTACCTACTTCAGTTTTTCCTACTTACTGGACTTTTTTAAACCTCTCAAAAGAACCACACATACCTAATGGTGAAAAATCCAGAACCAAACTCGTTCTATAGTTATGAAGAAAAATGTAGATAGACTAACGCCGCGTCGATTTTTGTTTTGTTTGAGGTATAAAGCTTCTGTCTAAGACATATTAATATTAATTGGTAAATTTATTCATAATATTATGGCATTATATTAAAATGACACATTAGAATATCTATATAAAATTGTTACGAGCTTGGGGTTCGAGACAATTAAAAACTGCCGAGTGAATTACCAAAATTGACACTTTAATTACAGAAAACTAATTACAACTTAAAACCACACTAATAATAAAATACAATATTAACACTAATCACTTTAGTTCGCAGTTATTTCGCTTCGAAGTATTCTCTTGTATCGCTAATTCAATACTGACTCGGTCGTGGTCTATACCGGCCTTATATAGGGCCTCAGATAGTTTCCAGAATCTTCTACTGTAGAAACATCTAGTATGTTCGAGTATATATCGATCCCGAAATTTCTAGAAGGATCTTGATTCTCCTATTTCTGCTACTCGATACTAGAGGGCGCTAGTGGTAACTAGTGTTGCCATGTACAAGACATTAATAGTGGCGCGCAACACTGCCCCCTCCTGTCCCAACATGTTCGTCCCGAGCATTATTGCCCCCATAATAACGCGCCAGTCGATCCACATGGACAATCTGAGGAGTACCTCTTCTAACATCAGTCAACACCCGCCAGTTTCCCTGCTGCTGCTGGACGGTGGTGTTAGCCACACAACCCTCTCGAAATCGATCACCTTCCCTTTCTACAGTTCGCTTAGGGCAGTTGGATCGAAGATGGCCCCTTTTCCCACAGCCGTAGCACCTAGGGCTGTATCCTTTATTGCGGTCGCGACTACTCGCGTTACTGTAGCCGCTGCAACCTCCCTGACACGATAGGAACGATGATCCTGTCGCACGGCTTCCACCTCTAGTGCATGGGCCAATGCGTCCTTAAGCGTCTCGTGGTGCCCGAGCCTCACAGCAGCTCTGACTTCAAGGTCACGGATGCCGTCGATAAATGTCTGCACCAAGTTCCCTACAATGAGCACAGGTACAGACTGGTATGCTTTTCGAACCAGCTTGTCAACCTCAAGGGCGAGAGCTTCCAGAACAGTTAAGGCCTGGTCACGCAGGCCTAGGGTGAGAGCAGTCATGGCCTGACTTTTATTCCAGCCATTCGCCTTCATGACAGCCGCGAATTGGATTTTGTAGGCCGACCAGGAAGAAGTCCCGTCGAACGGCGGCACTTTGAACCCGCGTAGCGAAGGTGTTGCAGCTACCACGGGAGCTGTAACTCTATCCCCAAGTTTGAGGTCGTCCAGCGTTTTCTTCACGTCAGCCATGACGTTGTCAACCCAATTGTACACTTGGTCAATTCGGGTTTCAGCTTCCGACAGGCGGTTGTCATGTTGAGCAACCCTATCCTTCACCTCCCTTATCTCTTTCCCGAAAGTAGCGTGAAGGTCCTTCCTGAGTAGCATCTGCTCTTCCATACCACGCTGCAGCTGCTCTTCCAACCGACGGGCCCGTTCCTCCTGTCGGCGGGCCTGCTCCTGCAGCATCTTCATCAGAGCACCTAAGTCAGGTGCTGCAGATGCAGGAGCTGCTGACGGGCCGGTCTCCGTGGTCGGCAGCTGGCCCTCCGACGTCTGCGACGTTGCACCACCAAGTCGTCTCTGGTCCGTCTCCTGTTGGCGTTCACTTCGGGTACGGATACCCTCCATGTCGTCCTTTGGTAAAATCGGCATGATTTGATCCCACTTCTGACACCAATTGTTACGAGCTTGGAGTTCGAGACAATTAAACACTGCCGAGTGAATTACCAAAATTGGCACTTTAATTACAGAACACTAATTACAACTTAAAACCACACTAATAATAAAATACAATTGTAACACTGATCACTTTAGTTCGCAGTTATTTCGCTTTTAAGTATTCTCCGGTATCGCCAATTCAATACTGACTCGGTCGTGGTCTATACCGGCATTATATAGGGCCTAAGATAGTTTCTAGAACCTTTTACTGTAGAAGTAAAGTAAGAATCAAAATACAGATGTGTTGACGTCACTCCTGAGGACTAAAATGGAATGTCTCGTTTCCAGTAAAAAGGGAACTTCACTGAGCGTGCGCTGTAGCACCAATGTACTCGCTGAACGTGTCGTAGCACCACGTGCAGCCGGCGCAGTGTACTCACTGAGCGTGTCGTAGCACCGCGTGCAGCCGGCGCAGTGTACTCACTGAGCGTGTCGTAGCACCGCGTGCAGCCGGCGCAGTGTACTCACTGAGCGTGTCGTAGCACCGCGTGCAGCCGGCGCAGTGTACTCACTGAGCGTGTCGTAGCACCGCGTGCAGCCGGCGCAGTGTACTCACTGAGCGTGTCGTAGCACCGCGTACAGCCGGCGCAGTGTCCTCACTGAGCGTGTCGTAGCACCGCGTGCAGCCGGCGCAGTGTACTCACTGAGCGTGTCGTAGCACCGCGTGCAGCCGGCGCAGTGTACTCACTGAGCGTGTCGTAGCACCGCGTACAGCCGGCGCAGTGTACTCACTGAGCGTGTCGTAGCACCGCGTGCAGCCGGCGCAGTGTACTCACTGAGCGTGTCGTAGCACCGCGTGCAGCCGGCGCAGTGTACTCACTGAGCGTGTCGTAGCACCGCGTGCAGCCGGCGCAGTGTACTCACTGAGCGTGTCGTAGCACCGCGTGCAGCCGGCGCAGTGTACTCACTGAGCGTGTCGTAGCACCGCGTACAGTCGGCGCAGTGTACTCACTGAGCGTGTCGTAGCACCGCGTGCAGCCGGCGCAGTGTACTCACTGAGCGTGTCGTAGCACCGCGTGCAGCCGGCGCAGTGTACTCACTGAGCGTGTCGTAGCACCGCGTGCAGCCGGCGCAGTGTCCTCACTGAGCGTGTCGTAGCACCGCGTGCAGCCGGCGCAGTGTACTCACTGAGCGTGTCGTAGCACCGCGTGCAGCCGGCGCAGTGTACTCACTGAGCGTGTCGTAGCACCGCGTGCAGCCGGCGCAGTGTACTCACTGAGCGTGTCGTAGCACCGCGTGCAGCCGGCGCAGTGTACTCACTGAGCGTGTCGTAGCACCGCGTGCAGCCGGCGCAGTGTACTCACTGAGCGTGTCACGCTGGCGCTGCGCGCGCGCCTGCGCCGCGTCGGCGGGCTGCTGCGCGTGCGCCGCGTGCGCTCGCGCCTGCGCCGCGTCGTGTTGCGCCGTGTCGTAGCGCGCGCGCGCCGCGTCCGCCTCACGCCGCGCGGCCACCGCCGCCGCCTCTAGCTGCTGTCGCCGCGCCGATGACGACCCGGACCTGCCCGGATACGAGATACGATAGTGTCTACTCTACTCATTGTACTCCTTCTCCGCGAAATCATATACTATAACAATCAAGGTAAAGTTCTAGCAACCACCTGTTATTCGGATGCACTGATTCTATAAAAAGCGTAGTGTATTATTGAATGTTACACTTGAGAGTCTCTATTTTATTCGGCATGCGAAGATATGCGAGAAGCTATACAGATTCTAATGATTTTATAAAAAAAAATGAGTCATGATACAGTCTGCGGCCCTTCAGGGAAGCTAATTTGTGATGTTTAGCGGTACTAATATAATTAATGCATTTTTTGACAGTGCGGTCTAAGGATATTTTTTTTAAACCTCTCCTAAGCGTGATACATGAATGCCGTAATTAGACTTCCAGACTCTAATTCCTAACTGTTTAAAAGCTTTTTCAATAATACTTGTACGAGCAAGTACATGGTATTTCAATAGTTTAGAAAATATGCTGATATCGCACCTGCGCGCGCGACACGTTCACTCCAATTACATTTTATTCATAAGTATTTCTCAGTACAATAAACGCTCTCTACAGAATCGGACACAGTTTTACCAGTTTTAATTACCACACACCCTGACGTAGATACAACCTATATCGACCACATGTGCAGGATACACATCAATTATATGTATATTGTCACAAGTCACAAGCCCCTTACAATATTATTAATGTGAATATTGAAGTAAAGCTAGTAATGATTTTATTGTATAATGTATAACAGTATTTAATTTTAGGATGTTTACGGGTGAATTTGATAACATGACACTAATCTGGAGTTAATAAAAGTTTATTTCAGTTAGGATAATCCACAAAATTATCTAAATCGGACAGCATCTCTAAGCAGCTCTCATAAGAGACTATTACTTTAGAAAAAATTGTGTTATCAGCATATAATAGGTGGAGTGAATTGTTAAAATAATTACCGTTGTCGTTAGCATATAATGTAAATAAAAACGGACCAAGGTGCGACCCCTGAAGAAGACCTGACGAAATAGGCAGAAATTTAGAAGTAAACCCTTTAGACACTGCTTGACTTCTGTTAATAATAATAAATAAAATAAAAATTATTTATTTCGGACAACAAGATCCATAGAATTTGTTAGTAAAGAAAAATTTACATCTATGTTAGTAATATAATTTATACTCAATACTTTATTATTAAGCAGGACATAGTCCTGGCGATCATTTGTTTAATCAGTGGACAGTCCCCACTGTCGGCAATCTCACTCAGCACACTGTGGCCGCTGCCGCGCACTCTGTTTAGCAAGGATGCGGTCTTTTTTCTGATTATTGCATCAAAGCTATCCACACCCGCCAGTGCAAACATCGCAGACGCGCTACAGTAGCGCGGCAGCCGCAACAGCGCCCTAAATGCATTATTGTATTGAGTACGTAGGGCACTATAGGCCTTTTTGGTGTAGTTGGTCCATAGGCTGCAAGAATAAAATGACGCACAATATGCTTTGAAAAGCGTGATCTTGACAGCGTTAGTGCAGCGACCAAATCTATGCACCAACATATTCGCCCTGACCGACAGTGCCCTACGTTCTCTTTCAATGTCTTCATCGTCTTTAAGACTGTCAGTGAAAATATGTCCAAGATATTTGAAACTATAGACCCTTTCTAGTGGTTCGTTATAGAGCTTTATAGGGGGTACAACACTAGGACATTTACTGCCAGCCTTAAACACCATGAACTGTGACTTTTTGGTATTGTATTGTAAACCATGTGAGACAGCAAACTTTTTGCAAACACCGAGTAAAGCTCTCAGCGCACTAACTGAGGGTGCCAGCAGAACCATATCGTCCGCATAGCTGTTATTGTTCACACAGACCCTGCCGATATGGCATCCGACACGCATGCTGCTGAGCTCTCGAATCAGTGCGTCCATATACAGGTTGAAGAGCCTCGGCGATGTCAGCCCCCCTTGCCTCACCTCGCACTCCATCCAGTATGGCTCGGAATATTCATTTGCCCATCTCACATAGTTTACCTGATTACTATACCAATATTTGAGCAAATCGGTGTAGCCTTCTAACTTACGCCACATGATGTCGTACGAGACAAGATCGAAAGCTTTACTCAGATCTAGGAAACAGGCGTACACCGGTGTGCGCCTGTCCGTGTAATATTTGACAGAATGCTTTAAACTCATTATTGCTGTTTTTGTTGATAGACCACGCGTAAAACCGTGCTGGCCATCATGTGGCGTACAGTGATTTTCTAGAATAGAGTTAAGCACACTGTCAAATATCTTGGCTATTGTCGTTTCCAATGATATTGGTCTGTAGTTCGATCTCTCTGATACGTCACCAGTACGGTTTTTTACAATGGGGACAACTGAAGTTCTCATTAAGTCCGCAGGCAAGTACGAATGCGAAACACAAGCATTAAGTAATAATAATGTAGGATTTAATTCACCTAAGAAGATCACCGTATACACCCAACTTTTTCAGCTTTGATATAAGTATATTATGGCTAATTTTGTCGAATGTTTTGGAAAAATCGGTATACACAGCATCAACTAGATACCCAGCATCTAAAATTAAACCAGTGAAACCATAGTTGTGAAACAGTGAACCCCAAGTGAAACCATGTTGATGTTTCACACAAAATGTTTTATTTAAAACAGATGTTACGATTTTTTCCCAAAATTATCCAAAAACACAATGCTTAGATAATATATAAGCTTTGTGTTTTTGGATAATATTGGAAAATCCATATTCATATTGTTACGGCCTACGGCTGCTCCCTTAAAGGGTCAAACCTTCAGGGGCCCATGAGCTGAAGACTTCCCGAGCAGACGTAGGTCGGCCCTCAATGTGGCCACGTGGAAATTCCTAATTACAATAAACCAGATGGGAGGACGCTAGAAAGACATAGTACTTACCATTATCCGAAGCTAACTTCGCACTAAGGCTTGGGCAGGTCGTGAGTGTGTGTAATAGTGGATGGCGAGTAGTGTACAGTGAGGTGTGAATGTTTGGAGCCTTGTCAAGCATAGGCGACCAGCCGCGGCCGAGTTTCAGGCTGCTCCAAAATGCTGCACCGCTTCAGACTGCTTCGGCGCCGGACCACAATCACTTTCCTCTTTCGCCACGATGACAGTCAATTAACTCTATCGTGCGATTAACTAACTTACAGAAGCCACTAACTATCGCGGGGTATAAGGTTACCGCACAAAACGCACACGGAGCCTCTGGACCAAAGGTCGCTACCGTTTCGCGTTGCAACAGTTAGTTCTAGAATATCAGAGGCCGCACTAGCTAATATTGTCGAATGCACTTATACAGATTCTGAGTCGGACCCAATAAGTCCCGGGAAGCTCTCCAGCAGGAATGCGCGTCACAAAATCCTAGACCGTATATTTACGGGCCGCACCTAATTATTCCGAGTTCCCTAACAGAATGACAGCGTGCCAATCGTTAGCATTGCCTAAAGACGACTGACTGCCCTTGGGCGTTTTACGCACGACCGAATGTCAAACCGGTATGACACTGAGCCGCGCGCCCTCTCGCGTTCGTTCTTGAAATTAGCGTTTAGCGCGAACACATATATTATCATCATCATCATCATTACAGCCTTTCACAAGTCCACTGCTGAACATAGGCCTCCCCCAAAGAATGCCACAAAGCACGGTCCTGAGCCACCTGCATCCATCGACTTCCTGCATATCTTACCAGGTCGTCACTCCATCTAGTGTGGGGACGCCCTACACTTCGCCTGCCGGTACGAGGCTGCCACTCGAGAACCTTTCTTCCCCATCGGTTGTCGGTTCTTCGAGCTATATGGCCGGCCCATTGCCACTTCAGCTTACTAATCCGTTGGGCTATGTCGGTCACTCTAGTTCTACTGCGGATATCCTCATTTCTGAGTTTATCACGCAGAGAAACTCCGAGCATAGCCCTCTCCATAGCTCGCTGAGCGGCCTTGAGCTTCCTCATCCGGCCAGCAGTGAAGGACCACGTCTCAGTTCCGTATGTCATCACTGGCAACACGCACTGGGTGTACAGTCTCGTTTTCAAGTTTTGAGGTATACCTGACGAGAAGATGTGCCGTAATTTCCCGAACGCTGCCCAACCGAGTTGAATCCGTCGATTGACCTCTCGGTCGAAGTTGGACTTACCTAGTCGGACTATTTGTCCCAGGTAAACATACTCGTCAACAACTTCGAGCTTAGTGTTCCCAACAACTACCGGCATAGGTGTGACATGGACATTAAACATGATCTTTGTTTTGTCCATGTTCATCTTAAGACCTATCCGTTGGGAAACACTATTGAGGTCATTGAGCATAGTGCTTAGGTCCTCCAGCGATTCTGCCATAAGGACTATATCGTCGGCAAATCGAAGGTGAGTGATGTACTCGCCATTGATGTTGATACCGTATCCTTTCCAGTCCTGAAGCTTGAAAACATCTTCCAATGCAGCGGTAAAGAGTTTCGGGGATATGACGTCACCCTGTCTTACACCTCTCTGCAATTGGATAGGTTTCGTACTCTGGTTCTGTACTCGGATAGCCATCGTAGACCTACTGTACAACCACTTCAACACTTCGATATACCGACAGTCAACTTGGCATCGCTGAAGGGACTGCAGCACCGCCCAAATTTCGACGGAATCAAAGGCTTTCTCATAGTCCACATACGCCAGACATAGTGGCAAATTGTACTCCTCGGACTTCTGTACAATTTGCCGAAGGGTATGTATGTGGTCTATGGTGCTAAAGCCTTTTCGGAAACCGGCTTGTTCGGGAGGCTGGAAGTCGTCAAGTCTGTGCGCGAGACGATTCGTAATGACTCTCGAAAACAGCACGTAGACGCGGCTCAGAAGGGAAATCGGTCTGTAGTTCTTCAAGAGAGCGTTGTCGCCTTTCTTGAAGAACAAGACCACCGCACTTCTGCTCCACGCCTCCGGTGTAATGCCACCATGAAGGACGGAATTAAAGAGCTTCTGAAGGACTTCAAGTACCGG